GGGGCGAGCGAGGTTGAGCCTGGGGTGGGAGCAGAAGTTACGGAGAGTCTTTGTTGCCAGTGCAGGATTTTGCCGGTGTACATTTTCGAGAGAGAGTCGTCTGTCGGCCATTTGTTTTCACCGAGACGTTGGAAGATCAAATGAAAAATGGGGAGGTGGGGGGCATAATATGTGGGCCACGCTTTCAAATACAAATAGAGGCCGGTCCAAACAAGATGGGCCGCTCCCTATCCGCCGTCACCCGGGATAGGCCCCGAAGAGGATAAACGCTTTGGAGAATGAATCCATGCGAAACGAGACATTTGACAAAGTAAAGAGTGAAAAGTACAGCGACCTATTTTCTAACGGGAGCGCGACCAAAAACGACGTCAGAAAAGCGCTGATCCCTCAACAATCGACCAAAGTACAATCAAGTATTTGTACTCGCAACCGCTTCCTGCCAGCCTGCAAACGATCGATAGACTTTGGTGCTGGCCAAGCATTCGTTCAGTTTCCGTTTGGCTTCATTATTCATGAATTATTCCCAAGCGGTGCGAGTTAAGGCTGATTTGCGACAGAAAACCTCAAGATCGGATGCGGGGTCCAAAGCGGTGAGTCATCGGTGGCCGCCGCAGCTCGGACAGGAGGCGCGATCGAGAGAAAGCAGATGGCCGCACAGGAACTGACACATGGCCGTCCTCCGAGCGACTGAGCGCCAACGTGCCCGATCGCGGGCTCGATTTTACTTTGGTTTGGCAATCTGGAACCAGGTTTGGCTGCTCCTATCAAAGTCTAACGAATGTGCAACATGGGCGGGCGCTCCTCAGGGGTCACGCGGAGAGGCGTGTCGAACGCGCTGATTTATCCGCGCGCCGTAAAACGCCAGCCATCAAGCAGAATGCTGGACGGGCTGCTCCGCTTCCATCGTAAGGGCCAATGTGCAGAAGGCCAGAGGACTGAGGAGTGAGATGCCTTTTGTCATCCAAGTGCATCAAGGTGGTCAAGTGACACTGTGGGCTGCGTATTCGCCGCCATCGAACCAAATCCAAGTTTGGTTGAGCACCAGTCAGTCAAATTGAACGAGCACGTCGACCCCAAAGATGTCAGAGGGATGAGAAATGTGTCTCTTTTCGAGAAGAAATGAAAAAAATATATCGATTGGAGTTCTCTGGTTTAGGCGCGAGTCAGCCGATCGTTTTGTTTGCAAACGACCGATTTGGACGTCTCCCACCCCTTGCAAGCCGCCGTTGCTTGTCCGGGTCCCGAGAACGAGAGCTCCGAAGCGACTGGAAGCAGAAGGCTGAGTCAGCACTTAACCAGCAAGGCCAAATTGATCTCGGTGCAGAGGAGGAGGAGGAAAATACATCCAGATGACATGAGCGATACTTTGCCTTGTTATTATTATTTCTTTTCTTTTTTTTTTTTTTTGGACATAAAAGGTTTTAAAAAAAAGCGCAGTTGTTTCGATGAAATGCAAATGTATATCGCTTAAGCTCAATACAACTCGTCTGTACTTAGCAATTCTTCCCCATTTATCGCATAGAACTTCATAATAATAATAAAAAGCACTCCCACGACGAATAACATTCATCGCAATAATAATGTTATTTTAGATGCAAAGTTTGGGGATTTTGTTTTTTTCCCGGCTGAGTCGCATGCTTTTCACTGGACGCCGACATTGTGTTGATTCAGACTTTGAGCTTGTATTACACGCTTCAAACCCGGGAATGCTTTTGCCGACTGAGACAGAAATGTAAGCCCCCCCCCCCTCCACCTTCCTTTTTGCTGTGTTCAGAAGCGGCCCACGGAGAGTGGAGCACGCATGGGAGTGGGAGGCAGTCTTGACGAGCCGGGCTTTTCCAGCAGGCGCAACTGGGAACGCAAATGCAAGCAAAAGGAACCGCTGTTTCATTCCACAACGCTTGAGCGCACGTCATTGCGGGGACACTTGAGAGAGAGCGAGAGAGCCAGAAAGCCATGTTTGCACTCGAAGAAGACCAAGCCTTGCTTTTTAGGTTCACGAGGGCTGTTTGCCTGCAGTGCAGCGGGGACACGCGCGGCTCCACAAAGCAATAAAGATCACACGACGTTTTGCCCGTGCACAGACTGGATATGAACGACAACCTGAATGCTGATTTTTTTTTTGTTTGTTTTGTTTTGTTTTGTTTGTTGAACGGCAAAATATATGCTTCGCCATAAAAGGAGATTTGATTGGTTAACTACATCGACAGGGGAACCCTGTTGTGCCTTCAATAAATGGCCGAAGAGTGGCTCTCTTTTCCCTCATGCAAGTACGGACGGACGGACGGCAGTATACGGAGTATTTATGTTTGTTTTAAATCAACAACACAGCGTGGGCGCGATTGATGAACAACAACAACAACAACGGCAGCTGCTACCGGCGCTCTCATTTGCTCACGCAGACGTCACTCGCCGGGCCAGGCGCCGCCTTTCAAAGCCGCACACATTCACCGTCACAGACACGACAGTATTGACGGCGAGGACGGTGACCCCCAGTGGACAAAAAGAGTACCCGCGCCTCAGATACGGATTGCTATTCAATCCTGCAACATTTGCAGAAAGGCGTTTTGGAGTCGCAAGCGATTTTCGATGGCCAAAGAGGGAGCGCAGCTTCGGGCTCACCGTCCCGTGAAGGGAGCCTGGCGCCAGAAGCTCATGAAAACAAGTTCAGAACTGCTCCGAAGGGAAAGTGACACACGTTCGCCGGCCGAATCAGCTCAATGACAGCGAGGAGCGGAGCGACACGTCATGCTCGCATGTTAAAGACGGCGCTTTCGGATGGAAATGCCGTCGTCCTTTTGAAAATGGTGCAAACTGCACGTCCGTCCGTCGTCGCCGTTTAAAATAAGTCAAAGTATTTGCCGGGCTTTCAACTCTCCCCACTCCCCCTAAAGCGGTGTTGACCAAATCCTCTCCAAGGTGACCTTGCCTTTCCTTCTCGTCTCGCTCTTGACCTGCGCCAAGGCATCTTTTTTGGGGGGGGCTTCTGTCCACCGCAGTGGTTTTGCATCAGGGGACAGCACGTCCGGGCGCAGGCGGTCGGGATCGGATGCGCGTTGGTGGCAGCGACGTGCGCTCCAACATTACGCAGCGCGACGCCAACGATTGATTGCGGCCACGTGTTGTTTTGGCCAATTGTCGCCTGACGACGACGACGACGACGTCGGGTTCTGAGCTCGCGTGCGCCGCGTTGCCGTCTCGAAAAGGGCTACAAAGTCGGAACTTGGGTGGATAAGAAACAATACGTGGTCGATAAAATTCGAATCAAAGAGAAATGAAATGATTTATTTAGAACGGCAGTTTGTTCACTTTTTCCCCTTGCCAAGCAGCAAAGAAAATGTTGGCAAGTTTTCGCTTGTTTGTTTTGAAAGTCATCAATCCAGCTGCACGTTCTCGTCCTCGTCTCAATTGGGCACTGAAGCCTGTCGAGGAGACGGCGGGCCAAATGTCAACCATCGGTGACTTGCGTGAGGCAACAACCGCGAGCCACCGGAGATGCGCTCCGAGCACTTCTCGAGCGTCAACCGCGCCGTATTTTCGGAGCATTTCTGGCCACCGATCGGCTTCGTTTCAGGAACCGCACCGAGTACGAACGCCTCCGACGGCAATTGTGTTTTTCCTCTTGCGGTCTTTCGAAATGAAAGCAGTCGCATCTTACGAGGTCGTGCCGGCGCGAGTGTCTTGAAAACACGCGGCAAAAAAAACCAAAACAAAACACAAGAGAAGATAATCAATGAAAGAGCAATCGATGAGCTCGGGCATGAGATTGGATGGCTGGAGCCTTCAAAGATAATCAAAGGTGCAAAGACAAGCCCCCATCCCCCGCCCCCGGTCAC